GAAATTCAAGATATTTAGGTTACGATCTGTATGTCAGAAAAAGTTAGCTCAAATCCAGAGATAAATCCAATACATGATCTTTGAAATGACTTTAAAATGTCGGCCTTCAGACGTTTGGCATTCAACCAGTGAGCTTTAGTTTGTGAATTTATTAGTGAATTTAGTTCACAGCAATACAAGCTCCTTGTCAGAATAATGCTGACTGTTAGCTATGGTAGGACAGGGTTGTTTATAATATCTACAGTAATTGCTTTCACTCCTAAAATATCCAAAACTCTACCAAATTTTTTCTTTCCAATTTAAGAGGACAAAGAATAATTACCTGTGCTGGAAGTCTCGCTGGGCTCTGTTTTTGGCTGCAAGTTGCTGCAGGAAATGGCCATGTAAATGGTGTTTGCAGCCAATGAGAGCATCTGTCCTGGCAGCTCTCCTAAGGTGGGAGAACATGGCTTTGAAAGCAAGTAAAAACTGAATATTTTGTGCATCTTTAAATAGGACAGTACAATCCTCACTGTAGTCAAATACTAAAACTGTCTCCTTTTGATTTGTTACCACTCATCCTCATAAGTATATAACTACTGCAACCTCATTTGAGTACTGGCTGCATCTGACACACCAGAAAGACAAAATTCATAAACATTTTGAGGATCAGTCTTTTCCATTGTTACAAGGAGCAAAGCAAGAAAAAGAGATTCTGATCAATATATCATTCACAAGCTGGTTTAATCGTTTCAGGAAATATTTATAACTTTAATAATTAACACTAATGTGATTATTAAGCAAAGAAAAGGAGTTTATATGAGCTGAAAAGAAAAAAAATAATGATCATCAGTAAACACTTTCTATGTTGCAACACATTGAATGGTTCTCCTTCCTTTTTGTTTCACCATATATGGTGTTTATTTGAGTCCATAAGGTTTTACCTTTTCCTGGAACAGGAGGTTTTTCCTGGGAGCCGACAATGAGGAGCGCCACCACCACCATGAATATTGGCACCCTCCACGAGCCGGTGAGAGACACTAAACAAGACAGAAAAATGTAAGTGGGGACATGGCTTCTTCCTCACAAATGGAAAAACCTGCTCCTTTATCTGTTGCAGACTGTCTAAGTCAGGATCTTGATAAGAATGGGTGACCTTTTAGCAGCTCTTTGCTTTATCATAGAAGGAAAACCATTTTAAAATGAAATGTATGTAAGCATCACAATAACGATGTGGTTTGCTTCGCTAGTACTTCTAGAGAGCTAGCACCACTTTTAATATTTCACACCTAAAGGTCAACATTACTTTTTTTAGCATCCCTTAAAAGTGAGCTATAAATAAAGCCTGACTTCCTCATCTTACTGGTGATTCTGCACGTGCTCAGCCCAGAGGACATGTGGGGACAAGACATTCTCTTCTGCCTCTTGCACTCAAGTAAAAAAAGTGAGATCAAACTTACACACCCACGTAAAAAAAAAAAAAGGAAGCCGTTTAGAGAAATGCACAAGAATATATGCCTAAACAGGTCCTGACTCACCAATGTAGAAGACTAGTGCAGCCCAAACAGGAAGAGCCAGAGCCCTCAGGTATCCCTCAGTTTGGGGACTCCACTTGAAACAGACGGCCAGCAAGTAGCCAAACACTACACTGCACACCTAAAGAGTAAGAGGAATACAGAATAATAAAACAATGGAGGCATTTTAAGGTTTCCTGTCCCATTTTTTGTGTATACTTTTAGGTTCTCTGTAAGTTTTTTGGTCATTTTTTTTTTTTGGTCAACCATTATTTTCATCAAAATGTATCATTCTAATGATTTATATGTGTTTAATTAATTTGCTTGTTTCAAAACAAGCTGTGGTTTAGAACTCTAAAGCAGAGACTATTTTTGCTCCTTCTCTTTCATTTTGCTGAATTTTAAACACTGACTCTACCTGAAGGCTGCAGGGCTTTTCCCCTGACCTGGATGAGTGGTTGGTGTCTCCCAAGTAATTTGATTGATAGCAAGCTATGTTACTTGGGTCAGATCTGTTGCTGAATAGGTCATTAGATCCTAGAGCGCCACTACAGTATATGGAAGTCAGAGCTCCCATAACTTGTTAGGCAACAAAACATATGACACCTAAATGAAGAGACAAGAGTTACACAGCTTTGGTTTTAGGGATGAATTAATTGGATTAATTGAATATTAAAAACTGTCAACTAATTTGTTGATCAGTTAATCATTAACTGGAATATAGACTCTAAAACATGCCTTTATTTGATCGAACAACTGGATTTAGGAAGTATACCAGAATTGTAAAAAAAAAAAAAAACTATATATATATAAATGTTTTACATTTAATATAAACCTTTTTTCATCCATCAATATCCTCAATCCAGCTCTCCTCAAATTGAAATGTTTTAGTTTTACATAGTTCTGTAAAAAAAAAACTTCTTTGAGGAACTTTTTGCCCTAATTAATTGATTAATCAAAAAAATAATCAACCAATTAATCAATTGTCAAAATGATCGTTAGTTGCAGCCCTAGTAGCTTTAATTTATGACTAAACAAAAGGAGGTGAATACTTTGTTCATATAGGTTTGTTCCTATGGAATATGAAATGGCTAGAACTGCTGTTAGAAGGGTGGGATTTAGGCATGGAGACAGTGGTGCGTGGGTCCTAGGCTGAGAGGTACTAAGCTGCATGTGCCGCCCAATCTGCTTGCAGCTTTAATTTTGTTGTTTTTTTTTTCTCTCTCACAGCTATATCACCTGCCTTAAACCTTAAAGGAATAGTACACCCAAAACATGATTAGCCTTCATTTTCTACTCACCCCCATGCTGAACAACACTCTGGAGTACTTTTTTGATATCTCAAATGCATCTGGAGATCTGGGAGGCTTCTTGCTGTCTGCTGACATTCAAATAATGGAGGTCTATGGCGCCCGAGACAGAAAGGTCCATAAAAGTCCATAAAAACGTGTCAATATTCCTCCATACTGCTCGTCCAATGTATTCCAAGTGGGTAGCATCCAGAATTTACTCGAAACGAAGTCATTTAGAATGTTTTTAGAGCATAAACAGTAGTGTATAGGATTTCCTGAAAGCGCGCGCCAGCGCGTTCAGGACGCTACGGAAGCCGGCAGACCAAACCAGATGAAAGTGCGCATTCAGCGTCTGCTCTTCCAATAATGCAAGCGTAGAAGAAGAAATGTGCTGTTTACCTGTGCAAAGAAAGAAACAACGAAAGAAAAATGTCTGAGGACTTCAGTGTTGAGGAAGAGCATGAGTTCTTTGCCGAGCTGAATGCGCTGGTTTGGTGTGCCGGCTTCCGTAGCGTCGTGAGCGCGCATGGGGGCGCTTTCAGGAAATCCTATACACTACTGTTTATGCTCTAAAAACATTCTAAATGACTTCGTTTCGAGTAAATTCTGGATGCTACCCACTCAGGACACTTGGAATACATTGGACGAGCAGTATGGAGGAATATTGACACGTTTTTTGTGGACCTTTCTGTCTCGGGCGCCATGGACCTCCATTATTTGAATGTCAGCAGACAGCAAGAAGCCTCCCAGATCTCCAGATGCATTTGAGATATCAAAAAAGTACTCCAGAGTGTTGTTCAGCATGGGGGTGAGTAGAAAATGAAGGCTAATCATGTTTTCGGTGTACTATTCCTTTAATACTGTTAAATGATTGGTCAACCTGTTTTGGGTCAGTCTTGAACAGCTGAAGTGAGACAAGCCCAATTCTGGTGTGTCTGTGAATCCACATATATAGAATTATGCTTTTTTTTTTTTCCTCTGATAAACAAAATCCTGATTTGAAAGCTTTAATTTGTTTTTACTCATTTTTTTTATTTTGTTTTCTGTGACGCTGAGATTATACTGATAATCCAAAAAATTTAGATTTAAAAAAAAACACACAACAGAAATCTGTAAGGGGGGGGAAATATCTCAAAAATAATATATTACTTGGTGTCAAAACAGCAGCTTTAGAATGAGAACATGCTGTATTTAAAAGCACATAGAAGTTGGATTTGTTTGTTGCAAAGCAGGGTTCATCCTCGAGGACTGCTTTGAAATAATAAGATGTTAATCAACCAGACACTGGAAATAAATGAATTTAGATCAGGCAACAACCAAATCAAATTGCAGGTTTTCTTGGAAAAAAAAATCACTGCTTTATTTAATAAACTGTATCACTAAGACATTAAAGATCATAATACATTTTTGATGATCAGTAAGTCTGGTTGATCTGAAGTTTATTTACAGTATCCTATAGGTGTTATTATACATGTAACAGGGCAGGGCTGCTTACAAGTCTTACCGGGTATACCATAAGTATTTCTGGGAATAGTTAGAGCCAGGGGCGGAGCTAGAAGGGGGGCCAGGGGTGGCCATTAACCACCCTTATGCAATTATTGGCCACCCCTGTGACCACCCCTATTTTTCCCTCTAATACAGACGGTGGCAGCAGTAAAACTCTCAAGTGGAATGTTCTAACTTATTTAACATTTTAATTTCTATATGTAAACAATTACCTGCCAACAAAAACACTGTGGTTAACTATGCACATCAATATACTAACATTAAAGATAAATACAGAATTCATGCTTTTTTCAGAACTAGATCTCGTCTTATATGGGGTAAAGAGAAAATCTTCACTGAAATCAGAGATAAATAACTACTTTAATAAGTTACATGTACTAATGTAGATATTAGTACATGTAACTATAAATCATATGCAGAGGGATTTTTAATAAAAGTAGGTTAGTAATGACAATGAATAAGATGTTCACCCCAGAATTCAAAACTGAAAGGATTTTGTCCACTATACCTTTAATTTAGACAGCATGGATATTTAAATACGTGTCTATTTGTTAGCAAAGGCTGCAGGAAAGTAAAGTTTGTCTTTATTTAGAAAATATGGATGTTGTGATTGTTCATTTTCCTTGTGCAACAGTGTAGATCGACCCTGAGGTTCTGGCACCTATATCCACTATCAGCCACCCCTAACCCTTATTAAAATGTTCTTGCTACGCCTCTGGTTAGAGCCATGAGACCCAGCTGAGCTTGTTTACTCTGAATGACAACAACAGGCTTTTTGTTCAAACTGTGACAGGGAGGACTCTGCTCACCCACACAGCGTGGAAGCAGTCCAGCAGGACGCCGATGACCCAGCAGACGTGTCCGAGGATCACCTGCATACCGATGACACTCCAGAACAGGTAAAGGAAGTAAACCAGTGGCGCCCCGGCGCCGATCACCAGCAGCACCGTGAGCCTCTTCAGAACCAGCCTGCCCATCGCCTCCACCCCGTAGTTAACGCACCACACGGGGACCAGTAGGGTCCCCACGACGATGGGAGTCCCGGTGTCCTGCAGGCCGCTGAGCCATGAACGGCCCAGCCGAGCCAGGGAGTGCTTGAATGGGTGGAGGAAGGTGCCGCAGAGCACTGCCCACAGCAGCGGGCGGAGGAAGGCCTCTAGGATGAAGTAAACCAGCACCGCCGCCCCGCAGCAGATAGCCACGAAGATCATAGCACCGGTGTTGTAAAATGCCTGTTTGATGTTTTTGTCGAACTTCAGGGAGGACGGCTGGGTTAGGAGTTGGCTCATCATCCCGACGGCCGGTTGAACGCTCTCAGAGAAGGAAACGGAGAGAGGCCGCCCGGTGTGAGGGCTGCCCAGAGGAGAGACGGCGCTGGGCTCCGGCGGCGACTCCTCTTCATCTGCCATGTTACTGCTGCGGCTCCAGTGGACTGTCCAACGGCTCCGCCGCGTGACGAAGGACAACATATGACGTAGAAACAGCGACCGTGCCAATGGGGGCATGGGGAATGTAGTTCTTAACGGGAAAGAAACTATGGAGGCATATTTTCTCATTTTTATATAATAATCTTAAGCCTTGGTAGTTAATGTCATGTAGCAGAATATTTGGGACACATAAAAAATAATACACAAAAATTAAAACCCTTTTTATTTTTTATTGTCATTACACTGTCACAACTACAGAGCAACAAAATGCACTCTCTGTATTTAACCCATCACTTTGGGGAGGGCCATTGCGCGGATCCTGGTCGAGACGTTGGTCGTTTGGTGCATGGCGCGTGTTTTGAAGCTGCTCTGCTTGTGGAGAAATGTCCTGGGCCGTGAGTAGTGAGGAAACAGGAAGCGATTCTTGTGGGATGGAAGAGGGAAATAGTGACAATGAAGCTTGGAAGATAGCAACATCAAAAAATGAGAAAAAGCGGAAAAAACAGATCAGTTAAAGGGGAATCTAGTTCAGAACAATCCAGTGATGATCAATCCATACATTCCACAGCAAAACAAAATGAATTCAAAGTCATATTCAAAGTCGTTAATCAGGCAGACTCTTTTACAAATTGGAATCCGGTTCACTTAACAAAAACCATCAATAAACTTGTTGGAGAAGTCAGAGGTGCCAGAATTCTGTACAGTGGAGACCTGCTAATTAACTGCAGAGACAGCGCCCAGCAAGGCAAAGCAATACGAATCAACAAAATTGACGGGACAAGAGTTCAGTGCAGCCTAATGGAGAACAAAAAGATCAGCAGGGGAGTCATTGGAGGAGTTCCTTTAAAGATTTCTGAAAAAGAGATTCTGGAAAACATAAGCGGTGCAAAAGTAAAAGAAGGAAAACGGTTAAAAACAACAAGAAACGGAGAAAGATCTGACAGTTTATCTGTGCTAATTACATTCGAGGAAGAGCAATTACCAAGGAAAGTATTCATTGGTTACATCAGTTATAATGTCAAAATCTACAATCCTCCACCATTGAGATGTTTCAAATGCCAAAAATTCGGACACATTGCAGCAGTTTATAAAGGGAAACAGGTGTGGAAGGTGTGCAGGAGAACACCAATATGGTAAATGTGGAAAAGAAGCTAAAATAAAATGCTGTAATTGTGGTGGAGAACATACTGCTGCTTATCGCGGCTGTGAAGCAAGCAAAAGGTCTGAAGAAATAAAAAAAATGAAATTTGAGCTCGGAATAACCTATGCTGAAGCTGCAAAAAGGATCCCATCTCAGTTAGAAAAACCCAAACCTACAGTTCAACATACGGCAAATTTCAAACCTCTAGAGAAATCTCCAAAAATTGATGAAGACTCACTAATTGTTAAAAAGACAAATTTTGTTCTTTTCATGGTGGAAGTGATTAATTGTACTGCACAGACGACAAAAAAAAACAGAAAAAAATCAAAATAATAGTGAAGGCTGCAGAAAAATATCTGGACGTAAAAGATTTGAACTGGGAGATGGTTGGAAGCATGATGGGAGGACCGATGGGACCATCAGAAACTGGCAGAGTTACGATGACCTAGAGTAAATTAAAATTATACGGGCAAATGTAATTTAGTATTATGTGGGTTTAAGTTACACAGGTATTTTTATTTTTTTATTTTTTTTTTTTGGGGGGTGAATCGTTTCCTGTTTCCTTGCTTTACTCCATATCAGTTGGTGGCGGTAATGCACATTTCACAAGTTTGCCAACCGCCATAAAATCTCATAAGAAGAAGAAGAAGAAGGGCCATTGCGCGGTGCCCAGGTAGCAGTGTGGGGTTAAGCGTCTTGCTCAGAGAGCCAGAGTGTCAGTCCGTGGGAGTTTGAACTCAGAACCTCTAGACTCCAAGCACAATGCCCTAACCACATTCCCCACAAACTCCTCTGGGACTCATTCAACCCAGATGAGACATGTACTGTAGCCTACATAAAAAAATAAAAAGAGCAATATTCTGTATTCATATCAGTAAACGAAATACAACAACTAAATCGAACCAATATATAATGTAGCCTATACATACTTTGCTCTCAAAAATGCATATTTGTTTCCTACTGTAGATACACTTGCACAGCTTCTGCATAATTCTGCAGTTTGGATGCTGCAAACATCTTGCACTCCTATCCACAACATCCACTGGTTCTTCAAATTCTTCTGCCTCTTCGTGTAATCCCACGTGTAAGACTTTTTGTTCTGGAACTTAAGACTCTTTGTTCTGTATTTCTAAGCAGTTATGAAACCACCGACTTATAAGAACACTCCACCATGCATTAATGTTGCCTCCAGATACACATTATAGAATCTAATCCAGCCCTTTACCATCTGCTCTCCGCTGGAGCCAGTTATTTGAAATCCTGACTCAGCAGCTCAAAGTTTCTGCTAGCATATTTCCTCCCTCTTGTTCCTATGAACCTTTGCATAGTAGTGTTGCTTGGTCTTGTTTTTCACATTGTGGAATGCCTTTATGGCTACAAGACTTTAAAACATAAAAGAAAATATTTGTAGTAACTAGCGTTCCTCTCTGCTAAGTAGTCATGCAAGTAATATTTAATATTAATAAATAAAATTGCACATCTTGCTAAGGTAAAAATGATTTAGGCTACTACATATTTATTCTGATCAGTTATCAATCGGTTACGTCACAGCTGTGTTGTAGTGTTATGTCTGAGTGAAGATTTAAATCCTGTTTCTCCAAATTTCAATAATATTACTTTTATATTTTTATTCACTGTTCAGTAAAATAAACTATTAGTGACGAAATGACAAAAAAAAACAAAAACCAAAAAAACAAGTCCCCTTATTTTTCTTGCCACCAATCAGTAGGGGAGACCTGAGGCAATGTAACACTTTTGCATATGTATTTTTATACAGTAAACAGGCATCTGAGCGTCAATAGCCAAAACCATGTAAAGTTACATTTAAGTGGGTACATTTTACAAAAGCTCCTTCTTAAAGCAGTCAGATTGTTGCAACTGATCCTTGACATTTAAACCATGTAAGTTTGGGCTTTAACGCAAAAGAAAAAAACGTAATCACAATATATCAAAAACAAAGCTGAAATAAATAAAAAAATTACTTTCATTCACAGAAAACAGTAGTTGTCTTTATCAATAAATGCAGGGGCAACTCTAAAATCTGCTGCTTTTTCTCTGGAAACGAGTTCTCCTGTCTTCCCAGTTTCAGGACAACAGTAATTTGTCATTTTACCATCAGTGGCTGATGCTAATATTTACAGCCCCATTCTGATAGACTGATATAAATTACCTATTGTCTTTAAGCGCTTTTAAAAGTTTTCTTTATCCCTAAAATGTCTTTATCCTTCTCCATTCCCTGCGCCCCACATTTTCTGTAATGGGCCTCTGTTACTGGTCACATCACATCACAAGCATTAAAATAGTTGTTAACTCCAGAAACAGCTGATCAGGAATAAAGGTTTGATGCACCCTTTTAGCACTGTGCCCCTTTGCAACACATATACCTATTTTTTTTTGCGCTACTGAGAAAGAACAAACAAGGAGTAAAACAAGGGAGCTTGGTTTCAGTGAATAGGCTGTGGAGAAAGAGGACACATCATTCAAACAGAAAGGTTTGTATTTTCATTTTATACTTGAACATACTTCTCTGTACTTTAAAGGTTCCTTGTTGTAGTAACAGATTATTTTAGACCTTTTAACATTTTCAAAGATTTTTAATTCAGATTTAAAAGGTTAAAACAACATGAGTGAGAAACCAAGTTCTGTAAAATATTCCTTTGAATATTTTTTTTCCACCTCATAAATAAGCATTGGCCATAGCTGAGGAAGATATGTTGGCTCATATCCACATGAACACTGCAGGAAAGCTCTTTCATGTCATTTTTCTTTAGTCTTTGCTTTCCAGGAAATGTTCTCTCGAGTCGCCAGCCAACAGTGGGGTTCTGAAATGGCTCCCAGTTTATTCAGTGGTAAGTGTAAACACTGTCTTCCAAATCCAAAGATGCTGTCGTGAATGTTCAAAAAGACGGTTAAAACTCTGATTACATATCTGAAGTACATTTATCCTCTATAGCAGTTGTTTATTCATTTTTCAAGATGAGCAATCCTCATATACTGTCTAATGTTTACTATGTCTAAAATAGTCTTAATCTGTTCAAGGTGCATATGTCATTGTGGCAACCAGCTTATTTTTATTGCTACATGATCATCTCTTCACTCCCTCCTCTACAGTGTGATTGGCTGTGCTTATTTATGGCGTTCCCATGAGCAAATAAAAGGTAAGAGCGACGATGAGCAGTAAACAGATTGGAGAGTTGAAGGTCTGATAGGCTGTGGACGGCATAAAGATGTCTTCATACTTATAGATGCTGATCATGCGGTCACTGACTGGAGGACTGTCGATGTCATGTCTTGTGATGGAACCTGTTGGCGCAGTAGGAAGGTGTCATTCAGGATTTTATTTTTAAAGAGAAGCTGATATGTTCATACTCACCTTGAATAGCAGGTCCCCATGCGAACAGGTAATACCATGATAGATGTAAATCCACCAGCGTCTCCTCTCTTGGGACGTATAATGGTCGCTTGAAACGGCAGGTAACCCGGTTGTTCTCGAAGATTCCTTCTTCATCCCGAGCCGGGTTCCTCTTGATCTCCTTGGCCCACTGGCCGACATTGTAGAAATGGTGGATCCTCACACGTCCGTTATCATCGTGAACACACCCCATTACATCATCTCCTCCCTAAGACAAAAGGGATTATAGATGGAAGAAAAGATTTGGTTGTTGATCTGATGATACTGATGATGATGATGGTTTTAGCAGAATTTGTTCAATTCTGTTTGGTTTTTATACATGATGCCATTTCAACATAAATGTTATCCCAAGGCTCTTCACACAATAAAATGATCTAGTTAATACACAGACATAGGGAGTCAAATAATTCTTTTAGACTTAATGAAGGACTCTAGGCCCAAAGTCCAACGGAAAGATTGAAAAAGGAGACATTTAAAAACAAATAGACCTCCAAAGAGTTCAATCCAGTCTTATTAACAGATTCAAAGTACATAGATTTATATTATATCTTGTTAAAAAAAAAACACCTAAAAACTTTAACGATCTCTGCTGCATTAGCAATCACTTCTTCTGAACCAGTAAGTATCAACAGACACTTAATACCATGGTGTTTTTAACTTTACGATACCTCATATTGAGCATACATGTGGTGACAGTGGAGAGAAGAGATCTCAGTTAACCTCTGTGAGAACCTGGCTCAGGAAAAGCTACCATCTACACTATCAACAGCAGGTTCGAGAAGACAGAAAACAAAGAAGCCCAATTCTAACCATTTGGGTTTTTTTTTGCTGTTTTCCTATAAAACAAGACGAAACTGGGTGACATAAACTAAGGTAGAAGAATTAACAGTCCTGCATTAACACCTAGTTTAAGACACTCATGATTGAAAATAAAGTATGCGGTAAATTCCTTAACTGCAGCAAAGATTTAAATCTGTGTGTTTTAACCTTTTTCTAAATTAATTATGATGAACACATAAATTATTATGAGCAGTTTTAGTCTGTTTTGATTAAATTTCCCATCTAAAAAAATATTTACAGTTATGTACATGTCTGGTTAACTAATGTTTAGACTAAGCAACACTAAACATAAATGTTGTATTTCAGTACTTAAACCATTAAAATATAATAATTAAAAAAAGTAAAGGCTTGTAAACATTAGTCTGTGTGTAATGAGTCTTTATGATGTATTAAACGTATTAAGTGTTTGTTACTGAAATTATTCAATACTGCATTAATACTCTGATTTATTAATTGGGTCTTTACATTTTCTCTTAGTTGTAAACAGAGCAATTTTTGTGTACTTAGCCTGGTTAGCAAGTATGTGGCAGAAAATTAGGGAACGGTCTAGAATCCAATGAAGCTTGTTAATTCAAATGTACCATCAACACTTACACAGAAATAAGGAAAGTTTTTGGACTGCTGTCAAAGGTGTTGGCTAGTTTAAGGATTTCACTTATCCTTTTCTTTAAGAGCAACTTTGGTGTTTCTCCTGCAGCATCACCTGAAGGCTGGAGGATTCTGTGCACCTAATAGAATTTTCAACCATTTTCAATGCCTTTCAATGCCTTCTGACACTCAGATCTTTTCATATCCATCCATCTGTCCATCCATCCATCCATCCATCTTCTCCTGCTTAGTCCTTCTCAGGGTCACAGTGGGGCGGTGCTTTTCTCCGGCACTCTATGAGCGAGAGGCTGGGTCCACCCTGGACAGGTCACAGGTCTGTTGCAGGGCAACATAGAGACGCACAAAGACACACAACCATGTACACAAAAACACACCTAAGGAGAATTTAGAGAAACCAATTAACCTAAAAGTCATGTTTTTGGAATGTGGGAGGAAGCAGAGTATCTGGAGAGAACCCACACAGGCATAGGGAGAACATGCAAACTCCATGCAGAAAGACCCCGGGCCGGGAATCGAACCCAGAACCTTCTTGTTGCAAGGCGACAGTCCTCCCCGCTGTTGATATTTTAACAATCTTTTTTATTTTATTTTGTATAATAGTGTGCAATATGTTTATATAATGAAGTACCTGCTGTATCTAAATTGCATCTAGTGTACACAATCCCCAAAATAAGAAGCAAAAAACCCATTCTTGCTTGGAAGACCATGTGACTGATTAATCTTTTCTTTGCTTTAGATTCTATGCTTATTCTGCCTGCTTTGAACTTTTACAATTGCTGTTATTGTAATTTACATAAGCTATAGTGTTTGTTTTTCTTGTACAGAATTTGTCTTGTTGTAATCAAGTGTCAGATGGAAGTCCTAATAATTTACATAGCTTTTTCTAAACATGAGCAAGAAAGACAGTCTTAATGTTCCTGTAAAATTATTCTGTTTGTTGATGTAGGGCTTTAGTTTTCTGAATAATGTCTAAAATGTTTACATTACTAGCATTTAGATAACTGTCAATCTCTCACCAAACTTGTAAAAAAAATTATCAATGAAAGCTACCTTTTATAAAAGAATGATCAATATGTTTGTTTACAAACAGCAGACATGAATGTTGCACAGTTTCTTACCATTTTTTTGTCGGAGGAGAAACCCACAGCCACCCAGCCGTCTGTGTCCGCACTCATCTCAAACTCTACATCTGTGCCAATGCGACGATAGCTCAGAAAGTAGTCACATGACTCTGCATCGCATCCTGGTTTCCCATACCTGCACACAAATAGAGCATCAGTCAGTAAAGAGACACAATATAAAGCTGAAATAAAACAAAATATTACCGTAGAACATACGAGTTTAGACTTCTTAAGCCTTCAAATTTTATCATTTTACAATCTCAGGATTGCATTTTCTATTTGGATTTTATTTGCTTTTAGAACAGCATACTGTAGGTTATAGATATGAAGTGGAAGGAAAGTCATAAATGATGTTCAGTATTTTATACTAATAAAAACTTGAAAAGTCTGAAATGTATTTGTCAAGATTACTCTGATACCCCTATATAAATTCAAGTTAAACTAATTACCATCAGTAGTAAACTAACTCCAATCTATATTTCACCTGAGCATAATTTTATCTTTTAATAAAACAACTATTCTGTGCAGGGAAAAAATAGACAGGGCAACATCAGACTAATAGAGAAAATAGAGGTATGGTTCAGGTTTTAAAACAAGCCGTTAGAACCTTAAAAACACTTTAGACTGGGGTGCAGGTTCACCTCCCACCAACAAAACAACCCTTAAAAAAATAACCAGAGCTGCAATTGAATGCTTTATAATCAATGTTAAAATGGATCAGTCTAACTTAGACTTGAATCCACCAGAAAATATGACACAATGTTTTCACAGAAGCTCTTTATCCAGTAAGACTGACCTTGAGTTATTTCAAAAAACCCCAGTCTGTGGTGCAAAGCTGGAAGATTAATCAGAGGTTGTTTTACAAAGTGTTACTTTAGAAGGATACACTTTTTGGCACAACTTTTTAAGATTTTTGGTCAAAAGTGATGTAAAATGTTAACTCTTTTTCACATATTTGCACTGTAGCTTCACTCAACACAAATGTCAGAGGACCTGTAGAAAATGTAGCAGCACATCAGTTTAGAAACAGTGGATTTAGGGCTAAAGTTGTGTTTCTGACCTTATGCAGCCTTTGGTTACTCCGCAGTCGCTGACTTTGATCTTGGCAAAAGGATCGACTGGTGGGGCTGTGGGGAATGGATAACCTGCAAGATAGAAAAACAAAACACTATATAATACTATAGAGTAGGCTATATAAATGATCAAATAAATCAAATGGGGAGAGGCATTCTGTTGTGAGTGAGTGGTGGAGGGATGGACCAGCGGGGAGCTGGCCTAGGTGCTGAAAGGCCCTGTGCAGATGCAGAGATGGGTTCAAAGCAATGAAATACACATCGTCTGCACGCTTTAATTTTCTCTTTGCAGTCTCCAATATTTGTTCATACGTAACCAAGGTCCACATCTATTGGATTTGATTAAAGAGATCCAAATCCTTACCTTCATCAGACAAATATCTGGACTCCAGGAACTCGGAAGCGAATGTGCTGTACGAGTCCTTATGAGCCTCCTGATGGCCGGGCTCTCCGTGCTCCCCGTGGCCGGTCCGGAGTGCTCCTTCATCGGTGGGGCTCGGCGCGACTCCCCACCATCCGCTCCGGAGGAGCAGCATTGTCAGCTGCGCGAAGCTCCGCAACAAAACCATGGCTAATAATGAAGCACGGAGTGATTAACGAAGGCTATACTGAAAAGGGAATCAAAGCTGGTCTTCATTTCTCTACGATTCCATTGGATGGGTAAACATCCAAGGCAGCGTCACGGAAGCATCTCCGGATTCTGCTTTTCTCTGTACTCACAGATATGAGGGGATGCAACGTCGCACACTGTCGGATTGTAAGGCTAATTTTTATTTAAATTGGCCAGATTTGTAATCCGATTACTTAACAAATGCGTATAGCCCTAATCCACAGTGAACCTACACCCTGAGCCCCTCTGGTGGTATTCTTAATCTGTAATTTCTTTAGAATCAGTAAATGGTTTCGTCCTCTAATATATTTCAGCCAATAAGCTGCCGCTACGTAGTGGCATCGAGACAGATCAATTAGGGCCCAATTTTCTGAACAATGCAGTAAAAACCATATCTAAGCATTGCATCATTGTGGGTGGAACCAAGGTGATCATTTGTTTTCTAACTTCTTTTCATCTGGCAAATGAAATCAAATCAATATTTAAAAAAAGCCATCTTTCTCTTTAGTTTATCTCTACCAGCTCTTTATACACAGGCATAACTTTCTGAGGGAATGGTGGGGACATGTCCCCACACAGCAAATCCAACATGCTCAAAACAACACTTTCAGATTTGATTTTAACACCCTTAAAGTGTCTATATAGGTCCACACCAGCGAGTGTAAATTTGACTCTTTTTGGAGATTTGGCATTGTAACTCTTATTTAGTGTTAACTAATAAATATTTCTGAAGTTGATAATTTAACACTTAATTACACCAACTAGGTGTTAGAATTGGAATATTAACACTCTAATGGAATTTTTTCCTAACGACAATGATTTCAATACATAGACTTTGGCTCTCAACAATATGTGGCACAATTTTCTAAATTTGACTTTGCCGCTTTTGAAGGAGGATAATTATTGATATAGTTGAAAGGGAAAACATCCATCAATCAATCCACATTTCTCTGGATGGATGATTGAATGAAACTTAAAATGTGTACATACTAGGAAGGCATGATATATTGCTGTTGGCATCAGAATCAGCTGTTATTCATTCTTTTTTTTTCATACATTAATGTCTAACTATAGACTAAATATAAACATCAGTGTATTTTTGTTCTTTTGTGTTCTCAACAATAGGAAAACATTCGATAAATATATGTTTGATCTAATTTTTGGAAAATACAAACCCTATTGAAAGTGTTTGTGTCGAGTAACTGTAAGCCTTTCAGCCCCCACCCTTAGTGTGTCCCCACCAACTTTCATCACAGTTACACCCTTGTCTATATATAGAGAGAGAAACTCGCTGTTTTGCTTTTTCTTCTTTGTATTAAAGCTCAAGCTGAGTCAGATATGACTGCCAAGTGTTCATTCCAAAGCATGTTTTGTTCTAAACCCTACCCTGTAGATCAGGGGTGGGCAATTCCAGTTTCTATGGGCCTGTATCCTGCAACTTTTAGATGTTCCTCTGGTTCAACAGACCTGAATCAAGCAATTAGATAATAGAGAGGACTCTGGAGGAACTGACTACATTCTGAGGAGGTAACTCTGTCATCAACACCCTTGTTTATAGATGCTGGAGATCTGCCTCTTTTCCAGTGTGGTCCTGTTTCTCTGACCGTGACTGGCTGGATGTGCTCTCTTCGTCCTCTGGCATGGGAGCTGGCTCGGAGCTCGTCTGCCGGGCTGTGTGTTTCCTGGATGGGGCAGCCTTTTACAGCTGCTTTTTGTGTCTCTGCTTCTGTCTCCTTGAACCCCAGTCGGCCTCGGCAGATGGCCGCTCACACTGAGCCTGGTTCTGCTGGAGGTTTCTTCCTGTTAAAAGGGAGTTTTTCCTCTCCACTGTCGCTACAAGCATGCTTACTGTGAGGGATTGTATTTGAAACAATGAGTCAATGCAATCAACTGGTTTTCCTTAGATAGAAAACTTTGTATCAATTTGACTGTATGATCTGGTTGAACTGTAAAGTGCCTTGAGATCACATGTGTTGTGAATTTAGCACTATATAAATAAACTGAATTGAAAATTGAATTGAATTTAAATCAGGTGTGCTGGACCACAGATTAATCTAAATGTAGCAGGATACCGGCCCTCGGGAACTGTAATAGCCAACACCTGCCGTAGATCTTTGTATTAAGGGATAGCAAACATAAGTACCACCTCAGTCAGAAGTTTAGTGCAGCCTGTAACAGTTTTTTCTCCAGGATTTAGGATATTTAGTTACATGCCTTTACACTTCAATTCTGAACACATGCACAGTCTGTGACGAAAAAGCAGAGACAGAAAATCTTACCTATTTTATGGTGCTTCCCCGACCATGTTTATACTATAAAGAAGATAAAGGAAAGTGGTAACATTTGGTCTATTCTGCAGTTTCTGAGTAATAAAGTCAGAATACAAATGCATACTACAATTTTAATATGAGGAAAGATACTTTGAATCCACAAATAAGTTTACTTTACTTCAATTTCCATTTGAGTTGGTCTACAGCATAACATATAATAAAGATGCTGGTGTTAGCATGAACAAACATGAAAATATTTGAGGGTATTAATACTTTTTAATTTATAGAGCCTATCTATACCTTTGTTAAACCTGTAAGACAAAAAATCCATAATTTCTAAACTTCCTCCAGCTTTAAATGGGTCATCCTATAGACACTCTTAAGCTTATATTTAATTAAACCACATTTTGATTATGTTTTAGCTTCTTCTTCAGATGGAGTATTTCAATATTCTAGGGCTGCAACTAGCAATAATTTTGCAAATCAGTTAATCTCTTGATTAATACTCGGATAGCAAAAGGTACCTTAAAGAAGATTTTTTTTTTTTTTTTACCAAATTAAATCTGTTGAATCTAACACTTTTCCGCTGAGTAGTTCTCGATAGAGCCTATTAACGGACTAAAACCTTTTTTTTATCTTAAATGCAAAATATTTATATATTATTTTTCGATTTTGATATAATTACTGCTCTTCATGAGTTGTCCTGTCAGCTAAAGGCAGGTTTTAGAGTCTCTATAATCCAGCTAACAATTATGGGTTACTAAATTAGTTTATATTTATTTCAATAATCGATTAAACACGATTTATCTGATTAACTGTTTCAGCACAACAATATTCCACATCATGATTTGGGAATATCTGGTCACTCTGCTACATATATCTAGCTTTTTATCATATGGTCCAAAAATGTTAAGTCAAAAATATTTCAAAATGAAAAAAAAGAAAAAAGAAAAATAAATAAAAAGTTAAAAAAAATATATTAATTTTTTCTATTTAACTTTCACCACAAAATTTGAACATTCAAATTTTAATCAAAGTAGTTAGATTTTCTTCAGAAAAAGGGACGTTTAAACTGTTTTAGAGCCAAAACATTTAAATTATTAGCATATTTTCATCATTATAAAGTCTCCCAGTTTACATACTCATTTGTGCTCTACTGAATAGAAAAAATAGTATATTTTAGGCAATCGAATGGGATTACGATCCACATTTATTGGAAAACACCTGGAAACACACACAAAAAAAGGTAGCGATAACATAAGTGAAAACAGTGATTCAAAATTTGTTAATCTAAAAATTAAATGTAATAAACCCACAAAGTCTTACACTAAGTTTTTCGAAATATTCAGCGCAGCCTTAATTCCTTCAGGCATATAAATACTAGTGTTACTAGCAGTTGTGGTCGCATAAACAGCTCAGCCAGGATGAGTTGGAAAATGTCACAGCCCCTCTGACATTACTGCTTACCTTACCTACCTGGGCCTGTGAGATTCATTCAAGTTCCGTTGTGGTGTTAATCCTTGGTACAGTATAATCCACTTTTTTTTTCAACATTTCTATGAAGGATATTATGTCTCTTAACTTACTGATGCATTTTACCCAAGATATTTTTTTGATATATATATTTTTTTCATTTACTGCATACATTTTTTTTTTTTTTTATCTCACAAAGGATTGGTACTGTATTGGTCATATGAAAGCTGTATAATATTTTACTATCATTTTTTGCATGCCAGAAAATCTGTCCCTCTAACAGGTTTATGTAAATCTTTGAGAATTCAATGTTTCATTATCTGGAAATTTTAATGTATAAAAAAGGATCAAGGTAGCATTGCATTTATTTATGAACTGAAAGATTTCTAACTTATTTATTTCCACCTAACAGGCTGACTCCGTCTTCCTTGGTTGCAGTATCAAGTATGATCACTTGAGGGCAACGTTATTCTGTTGTTTAAACATTCTTCGTTCTATCAGGAGATTTAGTTAAATTACAGATGTTTTGCTTTATAAACTAAATTCTGAAGCGAACAAGAAAGATAGAGATGTTCCATTTGACATAATGGCTAGAATGAAATCAAAATATTAATACATTACAAATACATTCAACTCAGAGTTAAAGAAAATAACAGTTCTGTCTCTGAAACTAGATACACTACAGATTTTTATCATATGCTTAATTGTCCACTTTATGGGTTGTTACAGCAGAATATCGGACCTAAGTGGACCAACTATCCTCTGCATATCCTTGGCACATCCACTAAACTTAATGGTTCAATTCTAATTCATAACTATATGATTTTACAGTAGCAGAATGAGACATGAAACTGTTTATTTTTTTACTTTCAGCAAATAACTAAAACTATAAGGCTCAATAAAATTATACAGAATCAATACATTTATAAACCTTTGTTTTTGGTCAGTGTTTTTAGTTTAGTTTTATTTTTGGGGGGGTAAAAATTAGTAATCTTAAGAATTTAATAGAAGTGAAAGCTGTAGAAAATCATGACATAAAGATGGGAAGCTCTGGTGTTCATATATGGATCCTGCAGGTGATGCTGATGTTACACAGCGTGAATAAACGACCAAATGCATGGAGCTCTGACTACCTTAAATAATGAGATTGGCATCAAATCATTTTGTCTGGGAACAACTTTATGCAAATGTTTCTAAGAAAACTACACATGCCCACTTTTATATAGTAAAAAACAGAAAATGTGATATAACTTATAAAAAAACTTCAATTTTTAAAAAGCAGTGATTTTAACAAGTCTAATGAATGCAATGGTCAAGCTTTCTGTATTTTAATCTGATTTACTCCTTGTGTCAAAACACAGAGAAAAGGTTTAAAAGTATTTCTGAAAAAAATCCCACAAACCTTTGTTTTATTATTAAAGATAATGGAATGGATATCAGATTCCTTAAATGACAGTAAGATATCATTGTAGTTTAGAATAGAGCTGGAATCTTTGAATCAGACACTAACAAGTACACAGCAATTTTGGTTCCAGTTAA